GCACATCAAGTTCAAGGCCTGCCTGGGCTAATGAGAACCTGTCTCAAACAAAAGAAGGTAGAGGAAAAGATGAGGGGGGGGAGGGGAGGGGAGGGGAGAGGAGAGGAGAGAGAAAAAACAGAGAATTGAGTCAATCCTGTTCAAGATTCTCAGCTTTTGAAGTCAGGGCTGGAGAAAGTGATTAGCTTTGGAAATTGCTCCCCCTACTGGTTGCCTGAAGTCCTGTCTGTTTATTTGACACAAAGCAGCAGGCGTCAGATTGAGCATGACACGTTTTTTTTTTTGTTTTGTTTTGTTTTTTGACATGTTTTTTCAGAGTTAACAAAGCTTGCTATGAATAAGGACATAAATATAAATCACCCCAAATTCTCATGATCAATAAATTCACAGTAAAGAAAAATATTATTTTATTACTGTTATTATTACCATATAAAATACTTAAAATAATGGATAAGTTTTTAATGTTGCTTAGCAACCCCAGGAGGAAGGAGATGGGGGAGAGGGTGGAGTAGAAAAGCCTTATACAGCATTTCACCCCAAGTTTAGTTACACAGGAAAAAGAAGTCTTCCTTACATGTTTTCTTCTACAAGTTAGGACCGAAATCAAATTATTTTTAAGTTAAATATTTTATTCAGTGCACTGGGCATCTTATTAAATGTCATTGGTAAGGATTACTCAAATAGAATGATAAATTTTAAAAACTTTGCTTATCTCACTAAAACTAAGAAGTCTCATAATCAAAGAACAGGCATTTTGCTACCCAAATATCTAGAATGTTCTTGTAAGTCCTAGGAAAGCAAGGACTCAAACATGAATTAAAAAATAATTAGCTATTTACCCAGTTGTGGTAGCACATGCCTGTAATCCCAGCATTCTGGAGGCTGGGGCAAGGAGTTGCACGGAATTAGAAGACTAAGCTACATAGCAAGACCCTATTGAAAACAACATTAAAATAAACTTGAAAGGAAAAGAAAGATCAAAAGACTGAACATCAAAGAAACAAGTTTTTACTTCATTTTGTAGCTTTCATAAGGGTGTTATCCATGATGAGAGCCTGATTTGGGTACCTGAACAGCAGGAGAGAGATGGCTGCTTCATACTGAGGCTTTTTCTCCCAGGCCTTCTCCTGGCTGGAAGGGTTCTGCATACAGAGCGCTTGGCTTTCGCGAGCCAATCCCCCTTTATCTCAGTCCCATTAGAATTCCTCACTGCTCCCTGTTCAAGTCATTAAGTGGTTCCAGGCCCTGACTGATGCAGACAACTATTTAATGTAACTAAACGCTTCATGTTACTAGTCACCCTTCTAACATAGTTCACTGGCCAGTGAGTTACTGAGCCTCATGCTATAATCAGTTTTCAGAAAGAACTCATGATGTTTAAAAATCAGATAATGGGGCTGGAGAGATGTCTCTGAAGTTTAGAGCACTCCATGCTCTTACAGAGGACCCAGGTTCAAATCTCAGCTCTAACATGGTATCCATCCTGACTCAGTTCCAGAGTATCTAATGCCCAATTGTGACCTCCACGAACCCCAGGCATATATGTGGTGTACAGACATTCATGCAGGTAAAATATTCACACACATACTATTTTATTTTATTTTATGTGTGTGGGTGCCTGCATATATGTCTGTCTACTCGTGTGCGCAGTGCCCAAAGAGGACAGAAAAAGGCATCAGATCCACTGGAACTGGAGTAATAGATGATTGTGAGCCGCCATGTGGGTGCCGAGAATTGAACCTGGGTCCTCTGTGTTCTTAACTACAGAGCTATCTCTCCAGCCCCCAGTATTTTTTCTCATATAAATATTTAAGTCACATGGCAATCCAGTTTTCTTTCTCTCACAATCATTGTTTCCTCTGACCATCTTTTTAAAAGGAAATCTAGGTCATTTGTTCATTCAGTGTTATCAGAATGCCAAAATTATATGCAATATACATACAACCAGTAAAATATGTAAAAACCTCTCTATATACACATATACATGTATGAATATATTCAGGAAAAGTTCTTTTGGGCTATACTGTATTATATTTATTCTATTATCTATTTTGGTTTCTGACTCATTGCCTCAGTCTTCATGAGGAGTAGTTTACACCTATCTTTGATTTCATTTCTTTCAAGTATTTACACGTTTCTTTTCTTTTGTTTATGTATGTATATGTGTAAATGTTTGTGCAACTGACTGTGCACACACATGGACAGTATCATAAGTCCTCCTCTATCATTCTCTGTCTTACTCCTTTAAGGCAGGATCTCTCTCTGAACTTGGAACTTGTGTTTTCAGTGCTAGGCTGGGAAGCCAGGGAACCCCTCCTCTTCATCCCCCTCAGAGCTGGGTTCCAGCTGTGCATGGGACAACACTCTGCTTACTATATGGGTGCTGTATCCAAACTCCAGCCCTCATGCCTGAGCAGCAAGCTCTTTTAATGGATGAACCATCTCTCCAGCCCCTCTGCATTTCTTTCAACTTAAGGCATTTCATATTTGATTTCAGTTCGACCTCTTCAGGCACTGTGTGTTATAATTGCCTCATTGCTTCTGGTTTTCTGAAATAACCATTTCATTTGTTTCTAATTTTTCTCTGATTATCTGGCTTCATTTCTGAGAGTTCTTTATTCTTTGTTGTCTTATATTATTTTCTTAATTTCTTTACTGTGTCACATACTATGAGAACACAGCTACTCAAAACAAAGTCTTCATACCCAATAATCATGATATTTCACCCTCACTCCAGACCTTTTTTCTTCACTCCTGCTATTCCTGCTTCCCCACTCATAACTCATAAGGATTGTTTATTTAGACATTCAAATGTCTTCATAGCTGAAGACATAGTCCAGTGATAAAGAATTTGTCTATCGGGCTGACAGAGAAGGCTCAGTGGGTAGAGGCAATTGCTGCCCAAGCCTGGCAACCTGACTTTGATCCCTGAAACCCATGTAAAGTTAGAAAAAGAAAAACAGACTCCACAAAGTCTCAGTATAGCATGTGCACTTCCACACACATGCATCATATATACACAATAATAATTATTATAATAAATAAACACAACTAGAAAATATAAATAATTTGCCTAGTATGCATGAGGTACTGAATTGGATCTCTGGGATCAGAGCAACAACGAAATCTTTCTTCTGAATTGATTTTGAAACCAAGTTGTTAGACAGAAGCCATTGTAAGTTGGAGCTGCCACAGCCTTTTTGTACAGTCTTGGGGCAGACTAGAAAGACAAAATTAAGGGGACATATAAAAGGAAGAAATCCCCTCTGCCCCCTACCTGAATTGCCATGTCTCTTGCTGACAGAAACAAGAGTTTTGACCTAGATGTCTGGGGACGTCCTTATATAGAAAGTGTATAGAGAAAACTGTATTCTCTCCATAAAACTAATATTATTAGCTAGCAAACTATACTCAGGGTAAAAAAGAAAGAAACAATTTAACTTCTTTTTTTCTGGAAGGTCATCTAGGGCCACACATATTACACATTATAGTCAGGTATCAATCACTGAGCTAGCTATGTCCTTAGCCTTTCTTTCTTTCCTTTTCTTTCTCTGTGTGTGTGTGTGTGTGTGTGTGTGTGTGTGTGTGAGAGAGAGAGAGAGAGAGAGAGAGAGAGAGAGAGAGAGAGAGAGAGAGGCTGCAAGTTCTTGGGTAGTACATACTTGCACTATCCGGCCTCGAATGATCTATGATCTTGTCTTAATTATGTTTCTTTCTCACGTGTAAGCCTGCTAGTACAGTCATACACTATCTTAAATTTTCACTTGTATATAAATCATTTTACTATAAGAAAATGAATATAGCCACACATTTTTCTCTCAATCTTAGAGATCACATCCTTTAACAAGGTAATGGCAAACTCCCCAAAATCACTCATATAGCCAGCTGCTGCAGAAGCTATTATCTGTGCATTCATCTCTTAGTAACCACACTTGTTTCCCATTGCCTATGTCCTTTCTCCTATAAATAAACTCTAACTCATTATAAAATTCTTTTTATGCAGCATAGTTTAAGAATCTGGGCTGTACCTAAGTAAAGCCCTCTGAGACTTGGAAGGGGTGCTGATGTTGAGCTGTGTTACCTGCTGCTAGTGATGACCTTGAATAGGTTTTCAAATGTTTCATGGAAGACTTTCCCTCCAAGCAGATTATTAGTTCCTTAAGGACAAAAGTTAGGCCTTTTTCTGTCTCCCAGAGTAACTACACGATTGATTCATTTTCCTAGTTAGGGTTTCTATTGCTGTGATGAAACACCATGACCAAAAGCAAGCTGGGGAGGAAAAGGTTTATGTGGCTTACACTTCCACATTGTAGTCATCACTGCTGGAAGTCAGGACAGGAACTCAAACAGGGAAGGAACCTGGAGGCAGGAGCTGATGAAAATCCCACGGAGAGGTGCTGCGTACTGGCTTGCTCTTCATACCTACCTTCTTACAGAACCCAGGACCACCAGACTGGGGGTGGCACCACCCACGATGGGCTGTGCCCTTCCACATCAATTACTATATAAGATAATGCTCTACAGGTTTGTCTACAGCCCAGTCTTATGGAGGTATTTTCTCATTTGGGATTCACTCCTCTCAAACGCCTCTAGCCTGTATCAAGTTAATCTTAGCCAGCACAATCATCATCGAGTATTCTCAGAGTTGGCTCTTGCAGTTTCCTTGTTCAGCCCTGGGAATACAAAGACACACTGCTACCTCTAACAGGCTTATAAATTTAACACAGCAAAGTGTATTAAGATATAAGTATGTGAGGTGTGGCATATAGATGAAAATAAGACGAATCATACACGAACTAAGAAAAAAACCCTGTGTTTGGAGATCTGGGCCCTCTTGGAAATTCTGGTAATTCGGATGCAGTTCCACGAGGGACAACCCCGTCCTAACCCCACAGGATCTTCTGTAGGGGCCTTGGTGATGGAATTCTCAAGAAGAATGAGTGATGTCGAATGCCTCAAAGATGTAGCCTAATTGAGTACGTTCACAGTGTCCCGCGCGTATGCAGTATCACACAGGTTATGTAGTGCCGCGACATGTCACGTTAATGAATATGTCACAGTTGATTAAAACATACGACAGAACAGTCAAAAAGGCGTTGCATAACCAGGAACCAACGTACCCAGCCGCGCCACCACCCACCCGGTTCCCCCCGCAGACGCGCCGGAGGGGAGGGGTTTCCGCTTCCGGCGGCGGATTGTTGACGCCCGCCGCTGCTGTAGTGGCTACCGAGCGGTTGCGGCGGGGCTGCCGAGCGAGGGAGGGCGACGGCGCAGTGACAGGCAGCGCGGAGGGTGCCTCGGAGGCGACGATGGCAGAGGGGCCCGAGGAAGCCCGGAGCCG